CTAGTTGCATGCCCTCACTGTGACATTCTGCATTCTGCAGTACTCATTCCTTCTTCACCTGCCATTTCTTCCCCAAAGGTGACCTGCTTGCTTACAGACAAGTCGACCTTAAGTGACAGCTGGACTTTCTGCCTGATAAATGACCTATCATTTTCACAGACTTCAAGTCAACAACTGGGACTGCTAGTTTTATCTGCTGCCTAACGTTAATGGTGGGGAACTATGGAAGAAAAAAATAGAATTTAGGCCAGGCCATTTACTTTGGTTGTCATTTAATATTAACATAAATGAAAGCTTTCCTTAAACTTTTTTTTTTTTTTTTTTTTTTTTAACCATTTCTGCCCCCATTTTTTTTAAATGTATCTATTTTAACTCGGAACGTTGTTAGCAGTGATGGGTGAACTTATCTGGTTAAAATAAGAGCAGACCTGTACCTTCATGTACATTAAAAACAAACGGTAATTCTATCTGCATTTTAACATGAGAAATAACAGCTTGGAAATAGGTTTTAAGACCACCATAACTGAGAATAAAAACATCTTTCCCATTTCAACTACCAAAATAACTGAAAATGTATTTTGCAGGATAAAAGCAATGTTCTTACGGTTCTTCTTCAAAAAAAGAGGAGAATTCTACTCAGATCCAAAAGCAGGTTCATTTAGCATGATTGCCCTTGGCAGGCTGCTACAATAAAACATGCTGTTGCCTCACGAAATAGAAATTCTGATGGTTTTCTGTTGACAGGGATGGTACACGCTGATCTATTGGATTTTGAGGTCTGTGTAAGAAATTATCTGACCTGTTAATTATCCCAATCCATTTTACTCTGTGTAAAAAGATCAATCTTTCCTAAATATCTAGGGTCTCCTCCCATTCCATTTTGAAAAAAAGAATTCTCACGCTGAGGCTAACCATCCCTGTCCCCCAAAATGAAACCCTTGTCAGGGAAGCTCGTGGTGACCTTCAATGCAGGGGATATTTGGGGCCCCTGAACCCGACCCAGCAGCCTTCTGAAGAACGGTCTGCCTGTGTGTGAAGTGCGGAGCAAAATCTAGGGCTCTGCCAAGAACGTGCTTGGAAGTTGGGTGCCAGCAACAATCTGGGCAACTCCACTGATTTCTTGGATAGATGTTTCACTGTCATTCACAGATGTTACAGTTCCACCTGGAAATGTGTTGCCTCCCACCTCCCCGGCTGCCTATACTGCCCCTTTTTATTTTGCGTCATAGAGCCCTTCTTGTTCAAAAAGTTTTACAAGGTGGACGCATCCATTAGTAGACTAACGTATTGACTAGCATATAGACTAATGCATGCTTACTTCATTTCATATTTTGGCCGAAGTGTGTGGAAAGGAGTAAATGCTTTGCGCTCTTCTGTAAGATCTCTCTTTTCTTTCCAGATCCTCAGTTAAAGTGCCCCAGCATTGTGCTACACAGTGTGCAAACGCAGTAAATGATACTCCAGATCCTCGGAACTGAATAATCAGAATGGAAGCCAGTCCTCCTGATGCAGATCCAGATATTCACCTAATACAGGCACAGGTAGCTCTATTGCTCCCTAGGCACCTATCAAGTACCAAATGAAATACCTCTGTTAGATCCTAATAGGAACTGGTTCAGCTGAGTCCTTCAGGTGGTGTTGAAAATCACTCAAGTATGATCTCCTTTTAATAAGAGCATATTATACCCATCCAGCAAGTATGTCATCTCTGCCTTCTGACAGTTGTCTGCAGACTTGAACAAATACTTTTCTGATTAAAACTGAATTTATGCAAGTAACAGTTCAATCACCAGTTTTGCTATCTGGAGTCTCTATTTCATTACTGCTCCATGATACTCAAGGTCAAGGTACTTCCAGCCCAAGAGCAATCAAAGTATTTGCAAAAGGCAAATTCTGTTTTCAGAGTAAGAGGTGTTTTACAGTCCTCCTCAGGTTACATGCAAAAGTGTATGCAGTGTAATTTTTATCTCTCTTTGGGAAAGCTATCTAAAACTTTAATACGGGGGCGGGGGGGAAGAGCTTTCTGCATAACAGCTTCACATAAACAGCATAAAAGCAGCATTAAAGTTGCTGTGAAGCTAATGGAATGCTAGATCAGCTCGCCCAATACTTCATCCTTGGAAAACATTACAAAGAGCTAGATTTTATGACTCTATTGTTCAGCTGGAATAATTTGTGTTCAATTTCTCAGGGAAATTCATCTCCTTTATGCCAAGCAGTTATATTATTTTCTTTTTATATTTTTATCAATGGTTCAATTGGCCTTTAATCAAAAGATAATGCAAGAGGGATCATTTCTCATTCAGCAGAGCATCTTGACTAATTTTATGGTCCCATATGTGATCACTCTGAACATAAGTTCATACAAAGTGCAATTTGCAGTGTACGCATAACTAGGTAACTAATAATAGAATATGTAAAATTCAGTCTTTGTGACCTAACACTTATATGCCCTTTGGGTTTGAGCTAATATTCACAATTTGATTAAATATGCTCTAAGAATGACTGCACAAGTATGCCTTCACTAGCAGCCAGAAACACTTCATCTGGGAAACAACTCCCTTATGCATTCTTTACTGAATTCATTTATGATCTAGAATTAATGAGGGCTGTGGAACATGTATCTTAAACTTAAAATCGTTATAACAATAATCAGTGTACAAAATTAACTCCTCTGATAATGGTGGTATTTTCTCACAAGGTCCACATTGCAAGGCTTGACCTTACAATGCTGTTTTAACAGCTAAATAATCACCATTACTATTACACAGATAAGTTCAAGTAGTTACGTTAGGCATCCAGAACAAAGGTGATTTCCAGAGGATTTCACCAGTTTATCAGTTTTACAGAGAACTAAAACAGAACTGAAATCGTGAAATAGCGACTTTCTAACAGGCACACACAATTCGTTTCAATAAGAAGCAATGAAGTGGAACCACAGTAAGAAAATTCAAAACTGTACTGAGACCAAAGCAAAAATTTTGAACTGCTATTGACCAAAAATTTTTCAGTCAAATGAAACTATTGCCCAAGAGAAAGAGGAAACATTAAACTCATCCACTATTACAGGTACATCCCTTTTCAAAGCGATCTGATGTCATCCTACGCCTTACTCAAAAACCTAAAATTATTCTGAGATTCTAGGAGGCTGAACTGATATGGGAGTTGAATGTGTTAAGGTGTCTGATCTCAAGCATTCAAAACAAATAACAGTAAAATATAAAACAAATGAAGCGAGGTGGACATGGACTCTTCCTTTGCCAGTCACTCCTGGCTTAAACACCAACTAATCGGCATGTCCTTTGCCAAGTTGCACCTTAGGAACGAGGAAAACCATCAGCACTGGTATCGCCCTCTCAAACCCCTCTGAAAGCCTGGCTCCGCAGCCATGCCGAGGACTGATGCCTGTCACTAGCATCACCGCTGTCATGGTTATGCAAACACAAATTTATACAGCTATTATCCTGCTCCCACCTTGCCTGTTTTACCTCATTTTAATCTCAGCCTGTGTGTTGAGGCAGTCTGATTCTATTTCACCTCCTACAGGATGAAGTAGTCAGCCTTACTTAGGCTGTAATGGTATTACAATAATGTAAAATATATGATCCTGTCCCCAACAGCAAGAAAATATTATACTGCTTGATAAAAGCATGGCTTATCCAACAATAGCAAAACACTCCTGCCAACTTGTATATTTTTATTTTCCTAAAGGCCACTGCCATAAAACATCTACACTGAGTTTACACAGCATTGAACTACCTGAGAATAGCAGGTCCATCCTTCATTTCAGCTAACCTGGTTGATTTTGACCTAGTCAGATCACAGGAAAAAGACAGAACAAGACAAAGGACTGAGTTGGGAACCAACCTTCAGCTGGAAGGTAGCAGCTACCAGCACCTTTCTGAGGTGCTGGAGGCTGCGAGCGATTCCCTGTCAGCTCTGGGTAGAAAGCTCCCTCGGGAGGGCTGGGTCTCCTCGCGTTTGCATTTCCAGAGAGCTTTCAATTAGAAGAGCAGAGCGGGTGCATCGCAGCACAGACAACTCTTTGAAGGCTGCCGTGACTTCAGATATTAACTCTGGCTAAACAACACGACTACCCTCGAGAGCATTCATTTCCAAACACCTTTGTCACATCTAGCAAAGCACACTTGGCACACTGGTGTCAGGTTTCTCCAAATATTCTTCTTCCAAAAATTGATTGTTACCGATATCCACATATCTATAGTGTTATTAAAATCACACCAAGAATAAAAGGAAATGAATGCTTCGGCACTCATTAGCATTTTACCAAAAGATTTTTTTGATGTATTGAAAAACTGCTTTGAAAACAATGTAAATTGCATGCATTGACCATGTTATGCAGCTCAGTATAAATCCATAAAAAGGAAAACACATACATTTATAAGCTAAAAATTGTATTTGGTCTATGATATTGAGAGTAAACTTGACCTTTCAAAGAACAAATCTAGTTTTGGGCCCCTTAATCAGCTCTGTATAGAAGAGCCCAATGCCACAAGCAAATATGCTTTTCCCATTTTGTCCTGCTTTACAGAGGGAACAAAATACTTCTGGATGTAATTCACTTGAACCTGGAATGAATAAATACCATTGATCTCACTGATCCAACCAATCCAATTAGACTTATTCAAGAACTAATTGCAGAGTCTTAGTCATGCAAAAATAATTTTGCACATATGAAGTCTCAGTGAAAAGTAGTTGTGTAAAGCAAAGTTACCTTTACGCAGACTGGACCATACCAATCTAACAATAGCAAGATCTTTCAAAATATAACGTGGCCTTGTACGTATAAAAACATTTCTATTCTTAAAGAAACCAATAAAATATATAATTTTTGTAGCATCTCCTCTCATTTTGAGGACCTCAGTGGTAATTAACAATTCATGATCAACAACAGGATGTTATGGAATTAAGAATGCTTAAAACAAAAGAGCATCTCCTTCTGCTATGTTTCTTTTTATTGACAGAAAAAGTCTACTTACCAGGATTTTTGTAGTGTAAGCACTGTTGATAGCAATTGCATTAACCAGCAAATCGAGGGTTTTGGCGGGTACAGAATCTGGGTCAGGGATCTCTTTGTAGTGGACATCACCGACATAGGCTTGCACGACTGTCATCCGATTTGTTGTTAGCGTCCCTGTTTTGTCAGAGCAGATGGCTGTAGCATTACCCATAGTTTCACAGGCATCTAAGTGGCGGACCAGATTGTTATCCTTCATCATTTTCTGAGAAAAAGCAAAAGAAAAAATCTTTAATATTTGCTTTGACAGATTTTAAACATCAGTTATAAAAAGCAAAGAGACCACTCCTGAAACAGTTTTCCCTTTCATAAACTGATACAGTTACTTCCTTTTTCGCAATACATACACATTTTAAGAAATAGCTAGAACGTCAAGGATTAGCTAAGGCGTTTCTGAAGAAAATAGGACGTTTCAAGCACTACTATTTTTCAATAATTTATTTATATGCTAAATGGAAACAAACTTTATAAACATTTTAAGAATCTCAGATGAAAGTTTTATATAAGGCACATTTGACTATACAACTACATTATTCTGAGAAAAGCGAGTAATCTGGAACTGCAGGATTTTAATCCTCTTTAATTTTGTAATTAAATTTAGCTACAAATAACTGTAACTGCATTTACAAAAAGCACATAAAAGCTCTAGTGAAACTTTAATTTGTCTGGAATAAGTTCCTGAGGACTACAAATCCTCACCAAAACTTTGTACTATTGCACACACAAATCTAAGGATGAAAAGTTACTCTATATAAGACAGTACCTATTCACTTAAAACCTGCTAAATACACTCCTGATAACTGTGTGAACTAAGTAGATATTTCTATCTTTTGATATTTCTGCACTGTGCAGTTTTAAAGATTTGTATTAACATCCATATGTACTGAGCATTTTTGCTAGAAATACTTCCTTTATAAAGCAAAGCTGTACATTAAAGGAGTTTCACTAACTTTTCAATCACATGGATTTGCAGGCCAACTTTCCTGCAACCTGATAAAACTTAAGGTCATTAGCCAACTCAGCTGAAAAGGATTTTTCTCTGATAATTATTTTTAGTTTCTTACCTTTACAGAATAAGCAAGAGAAATAGTGACGGCAAGTGGAAGTCCCTCAGGAACAGCAACCACAAGCACAGTAACACCAATAATGAAGAATTTAACAAAATACTGAACATAGACGGGCGTGCACTCAGGCAACCACTGTTTCTTGTTGATCACAAAGGTGTCAATGGCAAAATATAGTACCAAAATGATTACAGTGATGGCAGACATCACCAAACCTGAAAATAGAAACAATCAATTACTATGAAGCAAAACGCAAACTAAAAACACGTGCAGTTTGAAATCTACATTTGAATTTGTCATGAAGTTATCTTCCTAGTCTGTATGAGATTGTTCATTACCACCACTACCCATAATGATGAATTCCAGAATGTAGGAAAAGCATATTACTATAAATACATTTAAAACAACCATACATTCCAATGAAAAAGTACAATGAATAAAAGAACACTGAATTCTGCAGGACACCTGCATGATACCGCATTAATTTTTAAGTACTGCCTTATTGCCATTTTAAAAATTTTCACTCATTCTAGTTTAATAAAAGTTTTACAACAGCTTAAGCTAAGTTTTTCAAGCTTAGTGCAGTACTTTGCCTAAATCTATCCTTTTATAAATTACTAGTCTCTACATATTTAAACATCATGTTATTTCTTCATCTTTCTTTTTTAAAAAAAGCTTTTCTTAACAGGCTTGGAAAAAAAGACTCTCCTGTAGCTAATCTTGCTATGTAAGACATTTTAGAAAAGCCCTACTGAGGAATCTAGTTGTATATAGTGATGAGGCAATATGGCAGAACTTGCTCACAAAACAGTTACTCAATTTTTATTCTTGACAATTTGATAAATGCTGGTGTTTCTAAGGTTTCCCTTTTCAAAGGGAAACTATGCAAATAGTGCATGTTTTTATGATGAGACGCCCAAGAGAGGTACAAGACTGACAGTGTAACAGAACAGAGACTAATAAATGTTTCACAGGATTCAGAAAAAATCCAGGGCACTAAACATGCTCTTTCAATGACGCAGACTTTGCTAAGATAACATTCACCCTTGTTTCTGGGTTCAAGTGATGAATACTAGTTTCCATTAGAACATGTATTTTCCCTTGCTATGATTACTTGCTGTTCTTTGGCAGGCGTCTATGAAAACGTTAAGCCTGCATTTCAGAATAAATTCATTTCTCTTTAATGAGATCATCCAATAGAAGAGGGATGCTGTGAATTTCATGTCTGGGCTGAAGTTTAAAAAAAAAAAAAAAAAAAAGTCTGATAAAGAAGGATAAAGGAGATTCAATGGGAGTAAAGTTAGGAATCTGTTGTAGGGCTCCAGCCAAGGATCTGGATAGGGATTAAGATCTCTTTAACACTATTAGAGAAACAAAATTAATGATTATGTCATTATGAAAGATCTTAACTTTCTACCTATATGCTGAAGAACAAGGGCAACTGATATTAGTAGGGACCAGATGTTCCTGGATACAATAGTCAACAGATGTATTTATTAATAGCCAGTAAATAACACAGTGTAATGCTTTTTGGTAAGTAGCAAGTACAGATTAGTGGGTTGTACAATCTAATTTGGGTTAATAAACTACAGCTGAGGGACCAGTAAAGTCTAAATGAAAATGAGGAATAAAGCACTGTACTTCTGTGACTGAAATATTTAAGAGATCCTTTGATCTCTCCTCCATATTCATTCTCAGTCACGCTTTCAGAAAGCTACTTTGAAAATCTACTTTTATCTAATTTGAAAAACTAGATAAAATATTTATCAAGATCAGGTAGACTGAAGAGATCCAGGATTCAGAATTTACCATATGATAACTAACTAGAATTTATATCCTAAGTGAGGAAAAAATTGTTCAGGGATAAACATCTCATTGGGTAAATAACAAACACATAGAGGATTAAAAGTAATTAAGATGATGATAGAGAATGGGGAAAAGAAACCCAAACAAAATCAGACCACTTTTCACCAAATAGGTGAAAACTAAAAGAAGTTTTGAAATCAAGTACAGGTGATATAATCAAACTGGAAGTTATTCAAATCCATACCAAGGGATACTGTGAAACTCAAACGAAGGGTGCTTTCAAGCCCTTTCATGGTTCTAGTCAAACTTTACACAGTTCCATCATGCTAACCATAGATTTAGTTTTCCTACTCTTTTTTTTCTTTCATTTTTAAATTAAGTTAGAAGTTGAAGGGTGTCATATTTGGATAGCAAGCATGAATATGGAGATTAAAGAAAGAACAGCATGGCTTCAGAATACTTAAAAGGGCAATGCTATGTGAGTGACATTTTGAGAAGATATCAAAGTTTCTGGATGTGTGTACTAGGAAGTTCTAAGGGGAGAAAAAATTAAATATCATATAATTACTATACTGGGGAATATCGACTAGGAGAAGTTACATCTCATATTGATTCCAATATTTGCTACAATTGAAGTTTCGCAAAGCTGAGTTCTGTAAGATCTTCAGTACCACATACTCTCTTCAGAACAGTACCATGATGACCTATTTCTAAACACTGCCGTAATAAAGCACTTTGTGTTTTCAGAATTATTTGTTTTAAAACTGTTTGCTCCTAGTAAAACATAATGCTGTCTGGTCAGTTATCCAGGCATACCTGCTTTGCCTATCTGGACTGCCAGCTTGGTCAGCTTTCCCTGGAGGACAGATTTCTCCTTCTTGTGCATGTTGGCCTTCTTCTTGTCTTTGTCATCTCCCTCTCCCCCTTCTGCACTCTTCAGCGGCTGCATCTCCATGGCCGCAGCCCCATCCTGCTGCTTGGCTAATAAGGCAGAACAAAAGTGTTACTCCAAAACCGCTCTGCGTTCTTTGCCTCGTGGCGTTCGTACTCGCTGCGTTCCGCTAGCGAGGCCCCTCTGAGGGCTGCTTGGAGCACAGATGAGGGTACCTATGCACAGAGTTACTCATCACTCCCGCTGCCGAGAGGTGCCCACGTGGGGCGCAGGGGGGTTCCGTAAGGGCACAAATCTACACCTATACCTGTGGGCACTCTACATGTAGGGGCAGGTAAATGCGCTGGTTGCCAAGTACCATGTAAACTGTTAATTCTTTTTTTTACTGCCCATGACATTCTGTATTATACATATACACATATATATCACCCTTAATGCCTTGCAGATTACTTGGCAAGTAGCAGTAGGTCAGTACTGCAGGATTTTCTAGATTAGCAGCTCTAAAATTTTTCAGCAAGTCAAATGTCTGTATTTCCCTAAATTTGGTATTTCTCATAGAATGCACCCTTAAAATCATATTTTTATTGAAATAATGGTGCAACAGATGAACCACGCACCACCTCAGTGACCACTGGACCATACTTTGAGAACCACTCTTCTACATAACATCAGATTTGAAATGTTTTCTTAGCATTCAGTGTTCAAGTGAATTAACCATCAGGTCAGATGAAGATGCTATCGTTCCCCCATAAAAAACAGACATGTAATTTAAAGGTTAAACCATCCTTTCTTGCAAGAATGCTTTCATATGAGGAAAGTTTATTTTAGTATCAAAGAGAAAAACATAATTTTTTAAAAAACAGTGACATTCCAGTTTATATATGTGTATTTTGTATAGAACAGAGACAAATTAAACAGAATGAAATGAAACAGATCTGCTCAGTTTTGACATTCATGAACAGTTTTTATAAAGCCATGCTTATTTAACCTGGAAATCAAATTGGACTGCCTAACCTTAAAACTTATTCGTATAGTATGGATTTATTTAATAGACATAAGCAACTGACTTTATCTACTCAATTTCTGATCCTTGTTTCTGATCCACCACCTGTAAAATCTTTAAAATTATCTGAGGAGAGAGAAAGTTAGCGTTTACTGATTTACTTATTTGACACAGTCTAAAAAATCACGATAGCTGGTGTATCACATAATGAAAAGGGAATCAAGACTCACTTCAGAGGAAGTGAAATAGTTATTCCAATTTCTTCCTGAGAGTATGCATTAAATAAGAAGCACCTAACATTGTTTAATCTTCCTATTATTCAGCCTTATAATATGCTTTTCAATCACTAAATAACCTCTTTGCAGTAAAACTTCCTTCTGTTATTGCTTTAGCTTCTGCAAATAAAAATATTTCTATATAACGCCATTAAATGCCATAGATGACAAGACATCAAAAATGAGACTGGAAATTCATTACTACATAGCATATGCAAAATACAGAGCAACTTGTACAAGAAAAATGAATTCAAAATGAGCTCCATGACATGAAAGTCTCATCTATAAATGGCTTATTTGAAACATTGACCTTTTCCTCTCCTAAATTACTTATGTATTAAAATTCTATAAATTACAATTTCTTTGCTAGAGCTTTTTTTTTTTCTTCTTTTTTCTTTCTAACATTCTGTTTGAACAATATCTAGGGATATTTTGACACATAGGCAAAAATCACAAATTGTCATATTATTTTTAACAGAATCTAACTACGTGCTAAAAATAAAATCCACAACCTGCTTAATATGAAAGAAGATTACCTTTGTTCTGGCTGTTCTCCATACTCCCATCCTGCATTTTGCCTATACGATGGAAAATTTCAACAGACAACAGAGAACAGACAGTAAACAGTCATCACCCAAGACAGAACATGACAACGGAAATTTAAATAAAAAGGGCAGACAAAAGCAATGAGCATGCTACAGATATTTATTTATGATCAGTAGCCATTGTTACCATATATTTACTCAGAAGAGTGGACAACTTCGACACTTGCAAGGAACTGCAGCCAAGTTCAGTGTTTTAATAGGAAAAATACTAACTATTGGTTCATGTTTTTGAGCAAATTGCATGAGGTGAGAGAGTGAAGCTAATAAAAAAAATTCTTTAGAAAGGAGAATTGGAACAATAATCCTGAACTGAAATTTCAGGCAACGAGTATTTAATAAAACAACACCAGGACAGAGTATGACTTTCTTAATGCATTCCAGAATTAAATTTATTTTAATAAAATAAGACAAAATATAAATAATAGTAGACATAAATGTAACAAAATAAAGCTATAAATGTGATTTTATTACACCTTCCAATTATATATATTATTTAGCAAGTTACTGCTCTAAATATGAGTGTTGGGTGTTCATCCTATATTCAGATTTATCCTAAAGATTTGCCAGGTGCATCTGTAATTTTAAATTTACTATTTTAGCTACATTTTGTCTTACCTTATTAAAATCATTATTTGAATTTTTTGTAACTGATAATATAAAATTTGAAAGTGTATATGATGTGAAAATGGCAAAATATCAAGTGGAGTTTAAAAAACTTTGGTATTCATAATAACGAATAAAACATTTCAACTGTACTCAAAATTTGGAGGTGAGATACCTTGCGAATCCCTTACAGTGGTATAAGTATTTATCTTATGGAAAAGAACATTTTAATTTTATAAATATATGCACAATGGATGGCATTCTCTTTCAGTGGTTGTTTCTAGAGTCCAGTAGAAAAATTATGCTAAGGAAAATTAATAGTTAAAACATTTTTACAGGATTTTTAACACATACTAATACAAAATGTATCATTAAGTTTTCTTTAAAAAAAGATGGCAGTTAAGTCCTGCTCTTTAGACTGCCTATGATAGTGCAGCTAACGCTGACATGCACAACCACCAAACAGAAATTATGCTTCAACAGAGGTGGTTAGTTTTTCACTCCGTGCCATAAATACCTAGAAGCAAACCTGAAAGGCTAAGATCCACTTCCTATATGTTTGTATTTGCAGTAATTTCGAGATCACTAAACACTCAGTTTTTTTTTAATAGGACAAAAGTAGCCAAATTAATCTAAGTGTATCACCAGTTCATTTCATTCCCATACCAATAGGCTACAGCTGGTGAGAAATTCAGACGTATACAATTACCGTAAGGGAAAGGATGTTTTGCTACCTATTGATGATCTCAGCATGCAGAAGGACTGTTAAAGTGTGCTGAAGTAAACCGTTTGGCATCAAATGCTTGTCTATATTTTTAACCCTATTCCCACCTTGGATATCACGTGATTTTAAAAAAGAGGATTTTTATCTTCCAAAGACTTATGTTTTTCCATGAGACATGCATCTGTCAACCTGAACAAAAACAAGTTTGTTTTCATGGTGATATTTGCTCAAAAATTTTTATTTAATCTAAAAATTACGGTAAAAAAACAGCTCATAGTTGAACTTGATATCTGCTTAATGGCTATTTTTCTTAGAAGGGCTTTTAATATAGTTAGTGGAGGAAATTAAAATAAAAAAATAAAAATTCTGATTTCTAGCTAAATGAGAAAGCCTTCTTTAAGAGACTGAACACGTCAGGTTTAGAGCATGTCAGGTTTAGAGTGGACGTAGTCCGTTCCTTTTTCAGAATACAATTCAAAACCTTTAAACAGTAAAATTAAAGATTCTTCAACAAAAGAACACTTCGCATTTTCAAAACTGGTGAAAACAAAATACACTGTTCTTCTACGCAAGTCAAATACCTTATCTAACTATATGATCTATAGCTGCTGCGTAGCAGGAGTATAACAATTGTTTTAATGAATTGCACTAAAAATTCATCTACCCTCGCTATATAAAAATAACCAGCACGCGAATGGACAATCATTATTAACAACCATATAACTATATATATTTGAGAAATATTTTCTTAACCTCAGCAACTACTGCATTTAGGTTAATGTTTCAGGGTGTGGGAGTGTTCATCATAGCTATGTATAACCCAGTTACTTGCACAGAATGATACAAAATAGACAATTATGACAAGAAAAGAATAACGTAAAAGGAGGTAAAAGATTTTCACTCCTCCTGTTCCCATCAATTTCTTCAGGCCTAAGTCAGCACTTGGCTACCTATTAGTAAGGAAGTATTCTGTGCGTTCTTTAGAACAATAAAAGTGATGAGGAATTAGTAATTTTTAATATTAATTTTAATAAAAAATTATTTAATATGCTATTTTTATGTAACTTTTGCAAATATTTCCTTTCTTTTTGGAAATAAACAAGTAAAAGGGACAGTTTGGGGGCTTGAAATCTGGGGGAATTCATCTAAATTTATTTTTTCCACTTTTCTAAGCAAGTATAAAAGCGGGGAGGTTTAGAAAAGAATATAGTGTATAGTGGCTCATAAGATGAGTTGTATTCTGTAGCTGTTTTTTAGGTTTTGATGTATGAATTTGAATACAAAACGTTTTGCATGTTTCCTTTACCTTAATTAAAATTTATGTATCCTTACCTGGAGCATATCCAGAACACCATTACTACCATAGTTCTTACCACCAAAACAGTTCTTACTTCAAATAAACTTCAAAAAAAGAGACTCCCCTTTCCCTCCTCCAACCCTTTTGAGGAGTGAACGAGATACGATAACCTAATCCTATCGTCGGCATCAAGATTTATGTGTTCAACTGCAGGAACTGCTTGCAATTGGCCTTTGTCACAAAACCTAAACTAGTTATGTTCCACTGTGCCATGATAGAGCTAAAACATATATTTAACGCCCTACAGTTTTTCCAGAATGTCTCATCTTGCAATGGAGATGAGTTATAGCTGTCTTCCTGCCAAGTCGGTTATATTCTACAGCTGGCAAGCGCAGAAGCACGTTGCAAATCGATATGGGGGGAACAAAGTGACCTCAAACATAGCTGAAGTGAGTCAGTCGGAATTCTTTCATGTAGCACGGCAGCAGACACAACGCATTAGCGAAACTCAGGTTAACTACAAATGAATAAATCTGATTCCACTGTATCAAACTGGAAGTTTTAGCTGATTCTTCTAGGCATTCACTAAATCACTTACAACTCAGGAAACACATTAAAGTATATTAAAACTGCAAACTACTTCCTAGGAACGGAACGCTAACTTCTGTATGCCAAAACTGACAGAGTTAACAGCAGATCTAAAATATTTTAGCTAAGACACTGCTCTCAGTCTAGTATGGTATTTCTCTATCAGAAATACTCCCTCACCCCGCCAGACACACATATCCCAAGGAAATCCTGATTTAGGAACAAGGCAGCGCTCTACGGGACAAGGAGACTACAACCACTCATAAACTGCAATTAGCCTAGCACCCACTCTCCAATGAAATTAAAATTAGGGTAAACATGCTTCCAAAACTTGCAGTGATTGTTGCTGCCCATATTCTCTTTAAAATAATTTACCCTTTCTAAAGGCATTCCTTTAAAATAAAAGGATTCTTCGTGAATTACTTTCTGTAAAATTTTTTGATTTAATCCCAGCCTGAACTTGTAAGCTTTTAAAGACTGGACACATCAGTTGTCTATAGTTTTGAACAAAGAAGAACACCGAACAATTATCTATTTTCAGCTATTAACCACTAGAACCCAACAAGAACTTCTTAAAGCTCCTTACACAATAGGTAACAGGCAATAAGGTATGTCACAAACCTGTATGACTGTATTGCTATTGAAAATAAAATACACTTTTCTGTGTCAACTATATTTTGGTAACTGAGAAGTGACAGATAATTTGTCTGCAATTATAATGCGCTGATTTTCAACTAACAAACAATAGCATTTCCTGTGCTAAGTACACATTGAAGTATAGAGTAATTTCTATTATTTTAAGGTACTTTCTACTGAGAAGTATTACACACTAAGTAAATACGCCTGTTTTCAGTCATATCTTAGGGGAAATCCTCATACATATCCTCATCCTGATGCAAAAATATCATCTCACCCAGACTGGAAAAATCAGAACCACAAGAACTTGATTTTCTTCCTTTAGAACTTAATTTTTTTCCTTCCTTTCTCCCCTCAACACCCCAAAATATAGCTACATTTTAAGTAGCTACATCATCACTGCTGACCACAAAAGAATGCGTAATATAAACAGAAACCAGACTTTGGCAATTTCCCAAACAACTTCAGAGCACTCAGATCTAACTTTACTTGCCAAGTCTTGGTTCTCCTCTGAACACATTATCAGATAAGTTGAATTGTAGAAAGTATTTTCCATCCATGTTGGTCCAAGATACGCAGAATTAATTCAAACGTCTCATTTCAGAAGAGAAGTTAAAAGCAAAAAACACACTTAGCTGCACAACAACTGACTTCTACGCTTGGTGCACTAGACAGAATTGAGTATATATGTCTCATTAACTATAACTGAGATTAAAGAGGGGCAGTAACTACTGTTTCTGATGGGAAAGAAGAAAATGGAAAAATCGCATACTTACTTGATAAAAAACACTAGTTTAATATCCCTTGGAACTCCATTTCCATCTTAACTTCAAGCAATGCAGCAGACATTTACCAGGCAACCAAAAATTACTAACAGAGATACTAGGTAAGACTTACTTAGGACTCATTTCTGCATCACGCTCAGCGATGGTTCTGATCCAAGAAAGCACTTAAGCAGGTGCTCAGCTTCGTACTCAGCACCTTGTACAAGTAAGACGTCATGTAATACCTCAGTCTCCAGTGGGACTGAAGAAGGCTGTCTGGTAAGACTTTCTTGTAAGCATATGTTTGTATTAAAGAACAAGGGAGTGGAATTACAGAGCATAAAGAAGGGAGAACAAAACACTCCTCATTAATGTCACGGTTCTTGGTTTCTAAGGAATCTGAAGTAGTGGTGCTGCAAGCAGGGTGATCCAGGGATAAGGGAGAGACAGGGCTTGTAGGAGGGATTAATATCTTTTCTTAACTTTCTGATATGTTTGGAAAAGAAGAAAGGTTGCAGTCCTCCTTCAGGTCCATCAAGATTTGAGGACACTGTAAAGGTCTGTGTGCAGGATCTGGTATTTTCAAGAGCTTGTCTACCAAACTTATCCAGTTTGGATTATGAAATTTTGTGTCTCAAGATAACATTTTCATTTCTTTCAGCTGTATCAGCCAGTTTTGTTAAAAAAACAAAACAAAACAAAAAAACTAGCATTCCCTTGCTTTACTAAAAAATCTGCCATGCAATGAGATGCACTGACTGGAAATTCTAATTTTCCAGCAAACGTGTAATATACAGAAGTAAAGCTCTAAATTTGGTTATATTTTTCTTTCAAACTGTCATCCATTTATTTAAAAATAAGCTCAAAGGATTTCCTATGCTTCCTATGCTTTAAATAGGGTACCACACTGGTAAATCTTAGCATTTGCTTACTACTTGTTATTGCTATGTCAGAACGTGTAGTTTTACATGCATAACACAACAACTGCTGACCTGCAGAGAAACAAATTCTACCACGAACATAACGAAAAACAGAATTACTTCTGTCAGCGACACTGGCGCTGCACAAAATGGAAAGGCCTCTATGGCAGACAAAGACTAATGCATTTGATTATCAGAAAAGATACAGCTGTTCTAATTGATGTCTGGGCTAATAGTGATCCATTCCATTTAATACTGGAATTAGACTATTAGAAGAGATACTGAAATATTAGCATGCTAAGAAGCGGGGTCAAGAAGCTGTATGAAGAGTTAAAATCAACTACAGTATTTATTTTTTTTTTTTAATAAATGCATACAACTCATTAGATGATCACTATCCAAGGGTGCACACAAACTTCACTTTTCAGTCTCCTAACAAAAAGGTGCTCAGAGTAGCAAAAGTTATTCCTGACACATTCCAGGTTCAAATTGAGGCAGATTCCTGACCCCAGCACTATTTCTCAAAAGTACATTAAGACCATACGAATACTTATGAGAGTGCCACATCAGAAGAAAAGAAGATATTATCCTTTTATTATAGAGTTCTTCAAATCTATGCTGATACACATGTAAAGAAACATTTTACACTGAAACTTTATGTAAAGGCAACTCAGAAGTTTTGAGATCAGTTTTACTTATCTGTTCCTTTTAACTGTAATTGTTATTAGTGGCAAATAGATCATACTTCCTACTTGTTCCTCTCCCAAGCTTAATTCCTTGTCAATAAAGTAAATAAGTCACAGCATCTCTGTGGCATCTCTTATAAGCTACTCAATAGTTTATGGAATAGGAGCTCTCAGAGGGGTAAACACATGCACATACATCATCTGTGCAGTTCATAAGAGGAAGAGGGAATCTAATAGAGTCAGGAGAGAAATCCATCAAATGCAACAAACTAGGTGTTCTTGACGTACCATTGACTAAGCTGGCATTTGCATTATCAGTGGCATTTGCACCTGCTGCACCATCTGTAGCTGAAGAAGGGTGGGAGGAGGGATGGGAAGAATCTACTGAATAATAATGGATAAAAAACAAAAAATAATAATAATAATAATATGAACAACAACAATAGTAATATGAACAAATAATAATAATACGAACAAATTCACATGACAAAACAAAAACATTGGAATGCTATGGCTTTGTTTTCTCCAAAATAGATTTGCTTTAAATTAATCAACATAACTTTCAGAAACAAAACGTCATTACAAGGTGTTACAAAGTAAGGCAAGAACTCATATGGGGAATAAAAATAAATAAATAAGTAAATAAATATGAAAGACATTTAACAAAGTTAACAGAGTTGGTGAAAACTGACTGTACGCAGCACTAGGTACATTCCTTTGCCCCTTTATGCTGATTTTATGCAAATCTATGCAAATACTAAAATGGCTGAAATTTTCTGAATCTCTTTCAGGATTGTATGTTGAAATTTGAGGAAATAGAAGAAATATAGAAGCTTGGCAAATTTAGCATTGTGGAGAAAAACGAGTTATTTTAAGTCCAAATTAGAGACATTGTGCAGTTGGTTGTATTTTGTGATACAATGAAAAAAAAATACCAGAAAATAAAATTCTCTTTTCGCTTTCAGCAATTAGCCCTGTTTTAAAGAAACTGGTCAAGCAAATAGTTCTTCCCTAACAGGAAGATGGAAAACTCTCCAAAGGTTTTTTTATTATTTTAATTTATTGCTATTTTTTTGCTACAATACAGAAAACCAGTCTCTACAAATCATAGATAAAATGAGTTTTGCACTGTTTCTTTTGGTTAACTGTCCACTGCAGAGCACAAAAGTCTGATAATGAAGCCTGTTTGAGACTCATGAACTTTCTTGCTACTTGACCCATGGAGAGAGTTTCACACTGTACTGGTGTGTTATTCAATAAAAAGGGTCATCTTTTATTTACAAATGGTAAGTTGGGAGAAGAAAATATACAACATACAAAATTTTGAAACGCACCGTGTATAAGTGCATTCATGAACATTTCAATTGCAAATGTGATTACTGCAATAGTAATAACTCATGCAGTTGTAGCTACTCATCCTTATTTTCATTCCAGTTGGATACTCATACTAACCAGCACAGCATGAATTGCTAACAGCAAATAGCAAATTTCAATATTTAATAGAGCGTAATTTACTTCTGGAAAATAACTGAGCATTCAAGCTTAACATTACGATTTGCCACACCAATAAAACGTAAACACCTAAATGTTTGCCAAGAACAAACATGTAAGTGCCTTGAATCCTGTCAATTTGAAATTATTCTTTAATTTAGCTGCACTAATTCAAAGACAATTATATTAATCATTAGTTCAACCCTGATTTGCACCACAGCTTGCTAGCAAAACGCCTTATCCTTTCATTTGATCTGGCAGAATTCTTACTCTACCTGGAAGCTGGTGTCCATCCTCCTGTTTCATACCTGTATGATGATTTTTACAAAACGTTAATGAGTGATAAAGGCATACACCCAAAACGACTGAAACACAAACGTTCATGATTTCAGAGAACTGCAGGTTTATATAGGGGAGTACATTATGAGAGTTTGGGCCACAATCTGCAACCAGCTCTGCTTGGGCACTCTTCTGCAGCTAGAAACACTAGAAAGTTTTAAAGAATTTGCCTGGTGTTGTAGCCGTATCCAATTAGATTTAGTGTCTGCTATCCGAAGTTCTTACATGCCTTTAAAGAACGTCTGTCTCTGGCTATTAATCTATGAATACAGTGCATTACCCTGCTTTCTCTGATTTGTTTTTCCCTATCTGTCAAGGCTATCCACAAAGAAGCATGAGAGAATTACCAGTGTCATGAGCAAAATAAAATACAGAGAAGGGCAAGCCCGTTAAATGCAGGACCTTACGGCAGACAGCTGCTACTTTCAAGCAGATAGCAGAGTTTCTACTTCCCACCTACAACATGCTTACACAGTGCCAAAACAGATACCGTCAGGTCTCAAGAGGGCTGCGTACAGGAGTCTGTCTTTCAGTGACAGCAAGATTAGACCCTAAAACATTGTTCCAACTAGTCTGACATGAAAGATTTTTTACCTTGGGAAGTTTCAGTCTTTCTCTCTTTAATGCTCCTAGAACTTATCATGCCTAGCAGGTATTGTACATTTCTGTGTAGAAATGAAATGGTAAGCATTTCATAAAATCATCCATCAAGTAAACAGGGATTTTTCTCATAGAAACATGGAGTCAAGCGCAACCACTTAAACTTTTACGTCCATTAGGTTTGTTTTGATAAACAGTTAAGGGGCATACGTTAATAAATGGAAAGTTTAGGTCAGGAAATCCTTTTGAATCTAGCCTTCCCATCCGCAACTTCAAACAAAAATAATGCAAAAGACAAATAAATGGAATCACATTGTCTGATAGACAGTGAAGTGTTCAGTAAAGCTATACTTACTCTTTTTATTAATAGCAAAAGCCATTAAAAAGAGTGGGAATGGCTAAAAAATTATGTTAATTCGTCCTTAAATAGGACTGAAAGTTAAATATTCTTAGAACAAACTTTCTTGCTGAGATGAAAAATTTTGAAAGTAGACTTGAGCAAATTACAAAAAGACTATGTGAACAAAAACTAGGAAGGACACACATTAAACCACATTTCTGCTTAGTGCACGACCCATAAATTAGCTACAGGTTACAACGTCACTCTACAATAAGGTAAAAGTCTAAAGAGACTTCTTGATTTCATTAACTGATACCTCATATCAAAGTTAAACTGTCTTGTTATCATTTCTTGCTACTTACTTTCTTCTCTTTTACTAGTCTGAGTCTGACCTCTCCACCTGAAGAAATTAAAATGCCTTTACATGTATTATGTTCTTATACAGTCAGGCACTGACATTAGATGACTTTAAAAAAAATATTCGATTTATTTTTGAAGTTCAAATAAATATGTTATTTCCATGGCTGAGTTTCAAAAAAGTATTACACAGATGTAAATGCACAAGAGCAAAACTTTAGCAAATTTTAGGTGAGTGTGGATTTACGTAAAAGACATGGCAATTCCCATGTACTGCCTTGCAATTGGTTATTTACTGAGAGTCTGCAACTTCACACTGGAAAAACTTGTTGTTATCCAATATATATTATTGGTTAACAGATTTTGTTTTTTCCTGTGTGACATGTAATGACAAAAATGTATACAAAAAGGAAAGTTTTTAGAGTCCTATTTATTTGCAAAGTATTCGGGAGAGCTTTGGCTATACAAAGCTCAAGAGTTTGCTTGGGAGCATTCGTATGTGTTACGAAATTTACCTTTCTTATCTTTCTTTTCTTCTTCTTCTCCTCCAGCACCTAACAGAGTAAAGATGATGCCTGTCTGAGAATTCACACCCACAGCAGTTACCAGCATTCGTCCAGAGCCTTCCATGACATGAGTACCTGAAAATATGCAACATAAGTTATATATATTTTGCTAGTCAATTAAAAATCACAACCATTAAACTATTTTATGCAAGACTTAAAATAAAGCTAAGAGAGATTTGTTACACAGCCAAAAATAATTCCTGTTGTTCACTGTCATTCTCAAATGAGAATGGATCTTTGAGCCCAAATCTTAGGGTGCATTAAACACAAAAAATTAATAGAACATTAACCACACACATCATGTTTCCTTTTAAAAAGAAACATTGCCACTACCTTAAGTTTGTGTAATTCTGGAACATAACAAATTTAGCTTCATACAGTTAATTCTTTTAACTTGGAAAACATCTTTAGGAGTTCTGCAAACATTCCTCTTCTGTGAAGCTATTCAAGACTATACTGACTACATTCAAACATGAACAAAGTTAAAATGTATGGGCAATTTCATCTTTCTCAGGGAGTTATGGTTGATTCACAGGCATAGAAAAAATCTATTTGTGAATACAATTTCACATCTTCAAAACTGAAAATTCATTACTGAGAAAGCTCTTCAAGGGGATGTTTAATTAAAACATGAGTTTCTCAAAAATCAAGAAAAATTTGACATACGCTTGAAAGCCAGTTTGGTATGTACAAGGATTTCTACTGCTCTAAAACAACTCAAAATGCATAGGAAGTTCTTCTGAAAAGGATCATCTGATTACCTAGATAATTATAGCATTATATTAACTAAATGAATTCCTTGTGATAAAAGCTTGATGCTTTATTTTGTAGGCATTACTTATTTACAGCTTTTATTCTCAGACATTTGCTCCACTTCGAAAATTAAAACTGAAAGATTAAATTATGCAGGCCTATCATGTAAATTAACGTATCCAATTTTTTCTTGCCTTTTTTCAAAAAAATTTGCACACTATATTTTGCAGAAACTACCGTCCTCTAAAATATTAATTGCTTACAGGAAAAAATAAAGCTAGAAATACCATTTTTGCAACATTTTAACCTATTTCACTGATAAGTAAGAATAAAACTGATACGTAGTGAGGAATCACTGAACCTTGAACATACTTTGGAAATTTAACCAAATATTTGGTGCATCGAAAATCATAGCCTCTAGAAACTTTTTGCTCGTGAAAACACAAACAAACTAGAACTTCCTAGAAACCGTCACAAGTATTCTGCTTTCCATTTTGGGAAAGTTTTGTAACAGCTATCACTATAACAGTGTCTACACAATTGTGCACTGGGTATTTCTAAAAAGCTTTTAAATGGAAAAACCACTTACTGCTTTAACATGTATTTAAGCCTAGTTACTACAAGCAAATAAAAAACTGCCAATGTAACAAAAGAACCAGCGTGCCAAAGATAATACCAAAACGTGACTAATGTGTCATTTCATATGGTGATAAAGTTTTAACCTAAAAACTTCATTACTGAAGTAATATTTTAAAAGTTTGAAGAGTGGCATCCTGAGTATTTAGTGAATATTGAAAGATATACAGGCCTGTCATGTGACAATATTACGTTCCTATGAAATAGATGAAAAGTATTATGTCATGACCAGAAGCTACCGATAGACAAACCCATTTGTTGAAATAGTCTGTTTATTTTATCCTGGAGTGGAAGGAAATTCATGATATGCTTATTTAGTTAATCCAAGTCATTGGGGAAGAAAAAAAAAAAAAAAGAAAAGAAAGAAACAATCATTTCTCAAAATAAAGTTAGCAGATCAAACTGTGATTAAAAGGAATTGGAAGTTTACTGGGTTTGGAGTGTTTTAAATACTCCTTCCTGCGTTTGGAGAAGAAAATAGTTTGGACGCTATGAAAACAGACTGTAACATAGAAAGTCTAAGTCTTGAGAAAAAATAGTTGTATAGGCATAAATGTATTGATACCACCAAGTTAATTATGGATGAATGAATGCATGTTTAACTAAACCTGCTCCAGAAGTGCTTTATTATTTAGAAATTGTTTTTTATCCTAGGTGCTACTGTTTTAAACAAATTATATTTTAGAACCAATCATACATTAGCACAGATTTGCAGCTGTGGGACATAAGAAGAATGAGATCAGATGGAACTAGAATATAGTTCAATATTTAATGTTTTCTTTGTAGGAAAAAAGCATTTTTAGTCTTATTTTGAGGCAATTTATTGATTTATGAGTCCTTAAATCAGTACAACTTATCATAGTTTAACCTTTGCCTTGCTATTGCAGTATTTGTGATAAACTATTATTCTTTGCTGGGTATGATTCTATTGTTCCTGGGACTCTCACCTCACTTCGAAAGCGACATTGCACTGTTTTACAGTCATTAAGCTTGCCACAAATGTCTTCAATAAGAAGACATCAGTACCCCATCCATTCTGTGACAGCATGAATAAGGTGGAGTCATTAACTGACTTATCCTAAAAGAATTCTGTGGTAGAAGGGATAAAAATTCTGGTATATTCATTCTCAACTGTCTTGCCCCTACTGCTTACTGACAGACATCACTAACTGCTACCCAATATTTAAGAACAAAAGTGAAGTTATTCATTGATACCTACAGTTCCGAACCATATCACATGAATGCCTGAAACCACAGTAAAATACAAAGGAAGTCCTCAAACAGGTTTCCTGGAAATCCTTGCAAAACGGCTTTAAATCATTTGAATTATGAGCCTGTTGCATTGGGCAAATAGGGAAAAATATTAATTTCTAATGGGGAATCTTATTTGGTATTCAGATCTACTAAATCTGAATGGCCATAGGAAGATTCTTTCTCCCTCATTCTTTTAAAAAATATTTTACTGGATTGAACCTCATCTCTATATATTCATGTTGTTGAGTTATTTCAAAAGCTGAAAAAGGGAAAGATACAGGAATATGACGTTATAAAGATAAATATGCATCCCTGCGATCCATTTTTAAAAAATATTTCAACCTCTTTTCTTGTTACTGCTCGCCCATTTGCTGTCCTCAAACCTACTAAGCAATGCAACTATTTATAATCAAAATCTTTCTCTAAATAATTAGTCTCTCATGTTCTTAAAAGGAAAACAGAAACACAGTACAGAGGGAACATCTGTCCACTCTAAGTCTAATTTGAGAGCACAAACATCTCATCATAACACTAAGAAAAATTCAGCAGAAATTAGCCAAATAGAAACAAAAATGCAGTAACGGACAGATGTGGTTTTAAAAAAAAGACTTTCCCAGTGCATTGAGGATTGTTCATATGGTTGTCTTTGCTATAGTTGGATTCCTTAAAAAATCATTTGCTGTCTTTCAAATGATAGATAATTTGATGTCTTTCACATCACTAACATACAAATCAGGACCTCCACCTAAACAACAAAACCCAGTTATATTCAAGTCTAAAGCAACAGAAAAGATCTTTAAGAGTCATAATGGGATGGGTTGCACTGATTCAGGCAAAACAGAAAACTGGTCTGAAACTTAACTGAATTTTAGAAGCACCTTTTGCAGCGAAGCCAGCTGGAAGACTATGGTGCTTCGAGGAGGTAGTGACCCACGGGACAGTTCACTGTTGCTGCACAACTCACAATTCCCGGCATCTGAAGGGACGCAAGATTATCTACCCTCTTTCTCCTTCTCACGTTAGCTCCAATAAAGAGTATTTTAACCCTTTACCCAATACCTTAACCCAATACCCAGTACCTTATGGAATCTGAGTGCCTTTCTTACTGGGGTCATAATGAACATGATGCCTTGCAGTGGTTCAATACACCTTTTTTAAGGCATAGCACCACTTAAAAATATATTTTAATTAAAAACTTCTTTTCAGTATTCACATTATTTTTAAGGAATTTGTTCTATATGGAACTATAAAGGTGTGCACAAATATCCTCTAAAAGACAGCATATACCCCTACGTCTCAAAATCAGCTTTGCTAAGAAAACATGCACCCACCAGATATCAAGCTTACCTCTGTACACTTGGAACCTTTTGAGATCAACTTTTCTTAATATTAATCTTGCAAAACACAATTCAAAATTGTTAAGGTGCATATAAAAGCACATAAAAGGAAGTTTCAGAGCAGGTACTAGGTACCAACATATCAGCACACTATGTTCTACAAGTATTAGCTGAAGAATTCTTAAACACCTAAAACAAATCGGAGAACTGAACCTCTTTCCCCTCAACTCTGGCAATTCCATCATTTAAATAGCATTATAATTAATTTATACTAGTTTGAATAAAGAAACGGACTTCACGACTTTGATCAGCTATCATTATATAAATGGAATTATGGAATTAATGCATATTTTTCACTTAATCTGTACACTAAACATATATTTCATGTTCACATGGAACAATTACACTGACTTCTTTCCCTCTCAAAACTAATTTTTAATACAAATAGAATATATTTTTTCACATGTTGAGTATTTAATTTGAAGTTGAAAAGTAGTGAATGTTCCAAGATAGAAAACAAAGGAGTTTAGTTCAGTAAGAAGAAAATAAAAGACAAGGAAATCATGCAGCCCATATGTTTTCAGGATAAAAACTTAACTAAACATGCGACTTCTCAGAAACCCCAAAATCGAATAATAGTACTTCCAAATAGATTGGAAATAAGGCTGGAGGAAAAAAAAAACCACAGCATGCCAGTTTGGGAATTTGGCCTTTGGTGGAAGTTTTGTTACTTCCACCAAACTAGTGGTAAACAAAAACTCCCTGTCTGCAGGTCTAAGCAACTAGTTCAATCACTGCAACTGTTAAGAGGTAACTGAAGTTACTATAAAGTGAAATAATCATCATAATACCCTCTATAAGTAAAAAAGTTTTTCAGTAAAAGTCATCTACATATAATTTCAGCATATCCAAAATAATTTGAAATATTAATAGTTGGATGCTCTGTTGTGAGAACTTCCACTTTGCAAGACGACCAGCTTTGAATATTTACTGGCAAGGTACCGAGACAGAATCTCAGCTACTTTTCTCCAGGCAATAACTGACCTGATTCCTTAATCAAGCGTCTTTTTTATTTCCAAAACCTAACAAAGCACTGTGACCAACAGATTTATTTTATTTATTTTTTCTTGAATTAAATGACTTTGTTTTGCATCTTTGCTGTGCATTGATCAAAACAGACATTTATAAAAGTTAAATTAGGATGAAGAAATGTTCTGTCGGTCTCAATTTGGTGAGAATTATCTTAGGTGAGTTACTCTACGCAGCTCTTCCATATCGCAATCAAATTAATCTGAACTCCTGGCAAAAAAAGTTTTCAACAATGAGTCTCACAAGATTTTGTTTTAATGATATTTTACCTTTACCAGTATGTGGTACCTCAAAATACTTCTCTGTATAATACTGAGATACATGTTCAAAACTTCTGCATTTAGAAATCATGGATTTCTCTGAACTTTGAATTACATGAAACTTAAAGGGCAATCAGTTTCAATCGTGGCAGTTCAGTAGTAATCCGCATGGCTAGCCCACGCTGTCTTCAGTTGGAGGCTGATACAAGCCCATGTTCATTGCAAAGAAATTCAACATCCCCACAGTATTGTTTAAGCTGATGCCACCATAAACAACGGTTTATGATACACTGTGCATGCAAATCTCTGTTAACAATCTAAAAGAAAGAAAATGTTTTACTCAGTAGTATGGTGGAAGAACAGAAGAGATGCTGTTTACTTTGGTTGCAGGTTGCAGAGCTTATATTTCCATTTTTGCCTTCCTAGGTGGTACCAAATGTGCTATATGCAGATGGAAATGAACCATCTGTTTTAGTCAGCACTTGCACTTTTAGAATTGTTTCTCAAGTACAGTAAATGAGCGTCTTGATGATTAAAAAGGACATTAAACTAAATGAATTTCAGTGCTTAATTATGTTATTGAAAGTTATTGAATATCAAAAACACTGTTTCAGGTGCAAACTGTGAAAATAATAGTTCCTGATGCAGGGTGTTTATCTTTCACCAAATTTAGACTCACAAAAATAACAAAATGCAACTGCAATTCAACTGTTACATTTTTTTTGCTATTCCTCTGTCAAACCAGAAGAACTGTTTTCATTTCCAGCACGTGATTTAAGGGAAGACGATGCTAGGCATCAGCCTGGCGATCTGTGTCTGAATTCCAAAAGCTTCGACAGAACTTACTGGTGTTTCCAGGTGCAAGGAGGAAAATTTAAGATCTATTTGCAGAATATTTTTTCTGTTTAAACAAGTTTCTTAAAAATATATGTCTAGACTAACATCCAAAAGGAACTCATTTTTTAAACAGACCAAACTCAACGTGGAACAAATACACTACAGTGGTTTTCAATTTTTGTCGATTTTTGGACTCCTGACAATTTCCAGTGGGCAGATCAATTCCAACATCATTGAGACTTAACTGCACCTCTACCAGAATGAAATCTTTGCACCTGTTAAAATATCACATGAATTCTTCCTCTTTTTTGTAATTAAAATGGAGATTACACATTAGTACAGAAACATAAACAGTTTAAACTTTATAACAGTGTCATGAAACTATAAAGACAAACTCTCTGTCACAGGTATTTTGAGTTTTGGGCAGCAGGAGGAAAACATCTTATCTTTTCTCCTAACTTGACTATTTTCCTTTTCTCTTCCCACCAAGCTTTTCAGGGCAATGCTTTCTTGTTTCCATGCAGTCACCACTGAAATCTACGGCTATCCAAAAAGATCTAGTTACATGAACCAATGGAAACTTCATAACCACAACCTTGAGCATTCAACGGCAAGAGATATTTTAATTGAAAAATTGAAGCATAGATTGATAAAAATCTATGGTATTTCATGATCAAAGCTTCTATAATAAAATATAATTATTAAAGCTATTATATTAATATTGGCAATTTTATACTACTTGTTAACTAAGAGAAAAGAAATGGAAAAGCAAACACACAAAATACAGCAAATAAAGGATACCAATGGATTAAACCTCTATTAAACCTCTTGCTAAGAATTTAACAATGAGCTACACTTCCTAAAAATATTACTGCAGGCCTTCCTGTTTATACACTGGTGAGCATCTCCAAGAAAATTCTTTATACATCATCAATATATCATTTGCTGGAGAGAGTCCAGCGGAGGGCCACAAAGATGAGGAGGGGACTGGAGCATCTCTCCTATGAAGGAAGGCTGAGGGAGCTGGGACTGTTCAGCCTGGAGAAGAGAAGACTGAGGGGAGGATCTGATCAATATGTACAAGTATCTGAAAGGGGGTGTCAAGAGGATGAGGCTAGTCTCTTCTCTGTGGTGCCCAGTGACAGGACAAGAGGCAACGGGCACAAACTGAAAGACAGGAAGGTCCATCTGAACACGAGGAAAAGCTTCTTTCCTGTGAGGGTGACGGAGCACTGGAGCAGGTTGCCCAGAGAGGTAGTGGAGTCTCCTTCGCTGGAGATATTCAAAACCCGTCTGGATGTGATCCTGGGCAACATGCTCTAGGTGACCCTGCTTGAACAGGGAGGTTGGACGAGATGATCTCCAGAGGCCCCTTCCAACCTCAACTGTTGTGTGATTCTGTGATCAAAATTAGTTATCTGCACTTCTGAGGTAGATCAATTTATTATAAATCTAGCAGAAATAATAGTAGTTTTATAGACCACTCAGTTAAACCACTACTTTAAAGCTAAATTATCTTAGAATATATTGGGGAGTCAGAGGAATACAAAGAATCCAAGAGTGGCACTCTCCCACCTAGTCAGTTTCTGTATCTTTGCTACCTGCAGACGCATAGCCCTAAACTGAAGGTTCTCAGCCCAGGTGCAGCCTTCGGAGTTTGCAGCTATCTCCACCAATCTTTATTAGCCTCTATTGAACACGTGCCAATACATTTTTCAGGGACTAACAACTTGGCAAAACTTAGGGTTTTACAACACGAACAACAAAAGGCGTACACACCTGGCAAGGACTTTACAGCCAAAGCATTTAAAAAATCAAATATTTTGAAAGAAGCAGAATATTTTTTTTCTTCCAAAAAGAACAAAAGAATTTCTTTTGCTGCTTTATTCTCAGAGGTTATGGTCACTTTTTGTGTCACTTGAAAAAAAAACCCTTGTAATACACACGATTTCAGGCAGAAGCTGGCTTGAAGCTTGGCAAAGTTAAAGTCAGTCAATTAACACGGTTGTTTGTAATATGAAGTCTGGAACAATGACAATTCTACAAATGATATTAGCAACTTCTTCATCTTAAGTTAACGCAGCCACCTCTTGACTGAAATATGATGGGGTTTTTTTTTTTCCAGACCACAATCCCACAATTCACAGAATAAATAAGTATGCATAATCTCATAGTCAATGAGCTAATTATCTGATTTTCCATTTGGATAGCAGTTGCACTGTCGATTTAATAAAACTTTTCACAAACCCTTACTAATCGCTACTTAGCTGTTCTGAACAAAAGCACCTGCCAACAGTTGCTACTTGGGGTAAAACAGTGTGTGTATGGGGCAGGGAGGTGGAGAGTGAAGGACTCCTGAGGAGATGAGTACTTATTTGCTGCTTTGCAACATAAATATTGTAGTTAGGATGACTCTTGGCTGGCTGTAGAACCAGACAAGAAAGAGAACCCTTTCCATGAATAAAAAGTTCAATGTTTTTAAAAAAAGATTGTTTTAGGTTATAAGACATTATGAGATCAGCAGCCTGTCATTTTGAGATCACATCCCAGATGAAATCTATTGACAGTCAACCTATTTAGAAACTGTATTTTTAGAATTAAAAAAAAAAAAAAACCACATTCTCTGCAAGTGATTTACTGTGCAGAATATTACATAATGCAAATATTATGAATAACAGGAATTCATCTTGAAAATTATTGACCATAAGTCAAATCCACAATATTTTAGTATATACTTCTAACACACTTACTGTTTCTTTTTCTACTGTTTCTAATAAACACAGAATAAAGTGTTTAAGGCGGCTTTAAAAGGTATTAAAATGTAATAGTTAAATTAAACCTTGTATGTAATGAATTAAAATAACTGTAATCTCCTAGAATAATAACTTTCCTCTAAAAATGTTTTATTATTTTTGACTTTATAAAATAAATGTTATGATCAGAAATAATTACACAAAATCAAAAAACAAAAGCATGTCTATTGCATGAAAAACGTACAAAGCCAGTGTTCAAAAGATCAGGTGTTTCTAGATTACCAAAACGTGATGATGTGGAGAGAAAACAGCATGAACAAAACAGCGCATAAAAGATTAGCTCAGCAAGAACTCAGGCAGATTTACCTGACAGTAGCATTGGGTCTTTGTCAACAGATTTGCGGACTTGGTCTGACTCTCCAGTTAAAGAACTTTCATCAATTTTAAGATCATTTCCTTGAATAAATATCCCATCAGCAGGTAGGAGATCACCTTTCAGCAAGAACACGGTAATGGTAATAGAGACTTAGTAAGATTGTTTTTATAATTACGCAATGATTCTCATTATAAAATCATAATTAGCAACAATTATGTGAAAACGTAAAATGAAAGCAGAGGTGACAGAACAGCTACCACACTCAGCCATAGTAGCCACGTTAGGCCATATTACTATGATTTTTCTCACAAACCTATAGGGGAAGGGTCTCTATTACAAATATTTTTTGCCTAATGCTATCTTTGCATCTAAATAGCATCACGTTTTACATACCATGAACGTAACTATAAAGCATTCACCCACTAGAAATGCCCAATTTGGGGGGAACTTAGAGGATTCATAGTCCTGGTGCAGCCTACTAAGTGGAGTGAGCATGGGGGCACAATTCCCTTTCACAGGGCATTTAAAAATAACTCCTTTTATTCCTAACTAGAACAAAATCAAGAATTCCAAATATTGAAATCCTCCATAAAAGAGAATTACAGTTCTTGTCAGTGAAAGGAAGGGAAGTTTACAAAAACACAGTTACCAAAATGCAATTTTATAGCAAGTATTCTTTTGCCCTAACAGCAAAAGGTAGGAATTATCCTACCATGGACCACATAACTCTTTACCTTTTGAATCATGCGCAGAGAAATGAGTCCCAAACATACTTTATCCCATTAAACAGGGGATGAGGGAGAACAGAAGTAAATGAAGTTCAGAAAAGTAGATGCCTGCTTGACAAAACTTACCATATTTCACCTGTGCAATGTCACCAACTACTATCTCTGCCACTGGGATTTGAATAACCTGTCCACCTCGGACAACAGTAAACTTCTGTTCCTGCTCGATACGACTTTGAAGCCCACGAAACTGCTTCTCCTTGCTCCAGTCATTAAAGGCAGTGACGAGTACAACACAAATAACAGAGAGTAGGATGGCAGCACCTTCAATCCATCCAGCTTCAGCCTCACCTTCATCTTCAGCTCCTCCTGTCGCAGTACCACATCCTGCAAAGACAGCATTAGGAATCGTTCAGTCCAGCACAGATTAGACTTACCAAGTGAAAGGAAAAAAACTTGCTGTGAAACGACAAGGGGAAGGAATAGAATTGCTCTTTAAAGCACTACCTGCTAAATGAAAGAGGACTGAATGGAAAATAAAGTAGAAATGAAGATATCTGAGGAAAAGAATAAGGAAAAAAAATTCAATAGAAAATTTAAATTTTCTGAACAAGTTATCCTGGGTAAACCCAAACTAAACAAACAGGAAAACAAGGCATTGATTCTTTTATTTAATCTAAGGCTTGATCACTTCACCTGAGTCATCAAGCATTTCCAAAAATAAGAAAGACTTACTAAGGACTTACTAAGGACTAAAACAATGAGTAATAGAATGCAATTGAAAGTAATAGGACCAAATTAAGTTCAGGATTATTTAGGTGGAAGATTAGGAAAACAACAAAATACATTCTGTAACTATTCAAACAGAATTTATGTGTTTATGACTTAATTCGTTAGTGAGTTTCTGCTTTGGAAACATGAGACATACTGGTGATAATTATAACATTGAAATATTTGAATTTCTAATATGAACTATTCCACAACCTGAAAAATAACTAATGAATGTATTACAATCAGTAACTTCCTCACATATAACAATAAGTACATTATTTTTATCACAACTACAATAGTATTTAAAAATTCATTCTAAATCTTACTTAGCTAAAGATTAAATATCTAAATTCTCATTTTTCCATGAAGAAATAAACTATGTAAGCACCTGACATCAGTTTCTTATCTTATCCAAGTATTAGGGAGTTTAGCAACTTAGCAACTGTGTTGCTTCCTTTTCTGGCTAGCGTTTAATTTCGGTATATTCATGACCTGTCATATAATAGAAGGAATTAACAAGCAATTTGATTTCTACTTTTAAACCACAACCATTTCCCTGCAACACAGCCGTCATAATTCATTTACCAGCTGAGTAACTGCTCTTGCATAGAAACAGTAACAAAAAAAGAAAGCCACGTTAAAGACTTAACCTCCACCAAGCGAACAGAAGAGAAATTAAAATAAAAAGCATTTTTACCAGTTTTCCCTGTAGCTTAAATTGGGTCTCAGCCTAATTGAAAGGCAAAATACATTCCCAAGCCAAAGAGCTTTCCCAGCAAGAATGCACACGAACTGCATGAACTTTTATCTGCAGCACAAGACTAAAGGAATCCTTACGAAAGGAATCCTTTTTGTAACACTCAAGAAAGAAATTAAGCAACCTTTTGCAGGTTCAGTACCTTAAGTTGCTTAAAATCAGTAGCAAATGCAATTTACAAAACACAAGTTCAATTTGTTCCACCTGCAGAAAATTACTTTCTAGAAGGATGACTGAACTTTGCCTGTTTAATCTTTAAATCATCTTAAATGGTCTGTGCTTGATTTTAGATCGCTTTTCCAAATCAGTAGCTTCACTTTTGCCTCGTTTGGATGAAGATATTTCCCAGTGCACCTAATTCTGTTTTGGCAAATATAAGAAAAAATTCACTATTCATTTTTCATTAGATATGACCTAGAATTAAGTATCATGAATATCCGATTCATTTCACACAGCATACTTCCTCTCTTACTTCTCAGAAAAAAACATGGCCTGGTGTGAGCACAGTAAGAGACTGATTTTATTTGCTTTACAGATTTTAAAATCTTCGTTGAAATTCAGTCTGGCTTCCATAAAACTACAAATTGCTTCCTAAGCAATCCCTTGGCCCAGGTTAACCGACAACACGAACAGGCAGATTCATCCTTCAAGGCGATAGGGAGCACGGGGGGATAGCCTAGCTCTTAGGCGTTTCTAGACATTCCTGCCGAGGTGATATTCATTTACTTTTCTCTATAGTAGGCCTTCTTATGCTTTCACTGAAAATCTTCTGTGATTTCTGTATTAGGATGACTGATAATTTATTCCCTGGTGTTTTCTGCTATATCAACAGTTAACATTAGGTAGTAACGTGCACGTTTTTAATCTGAATTATACCAGCAGACCTGAAAATCAACCACTTGAAAGAGACGAACTGTCCTGTTATGCCTCTGGACATATATGTAAACTTATCTTATTGTTAGCTGAGTAAAATATCCTCTAACCACAGCAGAAAGCTATCAACTTTGATAAAGTTGCTGCTATTATTCCAAAGGACTAATAGGTCTGATGACACCTAGTCAGTGCATGCTAACTTCGGATTAACACACTGTATTTTGATTGGCTTAAAGAATAGGATATCCGTGATCCCTTTAGGAAAAAAAAAAAAAAAGCTTATCTGTGAAAACAGCTTAGTATAAAAAAGTATATTCTGACAAATAGAAAAAAAAAAACACTCCTTGACTTGAGCAATGGAATTAATGATGTGCATGTGTGTTAATCAGAACAGATTGATTTCTGTGTTGATAGAAACAATACCATTCCTAATATGTTCACATAACCACAAAAAGTAGTCTAACGTAGCATATAAATAACACAAGATGTTATCATCAAGGAAGGAACTGTGTTTACTCATAGATGATGCACGAAGAACATAATATTCATTCTTCGTATTATAGCTAAACAGTGAGAAAATAAGAAAATTTGGAAAAAAACAGACTGAGCTCGAATCAAGTTCTTGGAAAGTGTCCCTAAATTTGACAAGCTTCAGTGTTGCATGATGATTCATGATTTTACTTTTAGAATGCTGAGAAAACTCTCCATAACCCAACGAAAACCACAGGGATTCAAATGTGCTTCTTTTATTTTCTGTTCATTCAATTAAACAAAGCTAAATTCAAATGGAGGAAAGGTATGTTGAGGGGAGGAAAGAAATTTGGGGGGAGAGAACCGTCAGGAGGGAAATTAAGTGATAGACATGGTCAAAAATTGGACTTTTAGATGGATGGAAAAGATGCTGAGTTACTTTATGGATTTTAATATCCTCTTTGGTTGAAATTCAGTCTGGCTTCTATAAAACTATACATAGGTGCTGCTTGCTAAGGTGTCCTTTGGTCTAGGTTACCTGACAACACAAACAGGCAGGTTTACCTTGGAGGGTATAGGGAGTGTGAAGTGGACAGCTTACACTTTTTATTCAATATGACCCAAGATTAAAATAGTCAGCCTGAACATGATAGATATGAATTCAACTTCTCTCTCTCTCTGAGGATCTGAACTCAGCACGTTATGTTAAGGGCCACAATCAAAGTGATCGCACACAAACTGGAATCTAAGTCTTACTCGTTGCTATACTCATTCCTGGCCTCCCGGCCAGCTCACCATGCCCTATTTTAAGCACGTGTTCTTATCTACTCAGGCTGATGAGGGAATTTAATCCTTGGCTCCCAGATGTCAGATCAGTGGTGGTCCTAGCTGTCAGAAAAAAGAAAAAAACAGTTCCTCATCATCAGCATGTTTTAAAGCGCAGCCCAATCTGTTCACCTTCCTTCAAAATCAGAAGCAGAATTTCAGGTGTGTAAGGAATCTGAACATAAACGATTTAGCTACTCGCAAGTTTAAGCAGCAGCTGAGCAAGGCTTTTTAATTTCTAAGTTTTGGACTCAGATACTTGTAACAACTGTTCAGAACTGAAATTGCATTTTTTGTGAACCTAACCCCTAGCATAACTAAAACAAAGCTGTTTAACCAAACTGATCAACAGACTTTTCCAGAATTTTGTCTTTGGATCTTAAGAGTCCCACAGAAAAGAAACAGGATGAAAGTGCTGAAAGAGTAATGCAAAATGTTCGCTTCACTCTTTTCTATGGGAATAAGCTCCCGCAACATCAAGAAAATAAAGAAAAAGTATTCAGTTCTAACAAGTAGGATTTTAGAACAGATTTTTTGTAATGGAGATTTTCAGATAAGTGAGATTAAAAAAAGCCACATGCCTTTCAAGAAATGATCTATCTGGTAAGAAATGTTTCATTGAACTATGCCGTGTTTTTGTTTCAAAACTATTTTATTCAATTTGAATAGAAAATAAATATAAATATTAAATAGAAAATAAATACAAACATAAACATTCCCTTTTAATAGCAAAAATGGAAATTTGCATCTCTATTGCTCTATATTTCTAGTATTCTTTTTCATATACTTAAGGAAAAAAAATTCTTTTGTGGTTTTTCTCCTCTGCCATTACATCACACTGTTTTCTAGAAGTTATAGAAAGAGCTATCTGAGTTTACAGAAAGAAAACATATGGATTCATAGGAGAAAAACACACTTATGCTTATTATACTATATATCTTATACAATCTGTTCTCTTTTCCTTAGAGCACAGGGTGATATAATATCAACCTTATGCATAATAGGGAAAAAAAGGAATATAAATAAGACAAACAGAAGAGAAAAAAATAGTGTCCCTAAGCAGACCGTGCAAAATGTAGTTTAAAGCATCTGATGTTTATAAGGACTGCTCATATGACCTTTAAAAATTGTGTTAAGATCTAAGATTGCTGTTATGCTTTCAAAAGGTAATACTTGGTTCATGGCATTATTGCAGAAGAACACTTGAGATTTTGTTATTGAAAGGCAGAGACTGAAAAGCATCATGAAAGTGTTTTTAATGTGCACGTAGGTTACGTGAATGTAGTATGGTTTTATTCCAAGATGATGAATTGTGAGGGAGTCATTTAAAATTTATATTTAACATAGGTCCTATCCACGAGAGGAGTCAATGTCAAAAAAGTAATCAAGTTCTTAATACGGAAATATTTTCTACCATAACTGTGAACACATGCCATGTGTGTGCGCATTCCCAAAAGTCGCAACCTCGTGCAATCGAAAAGGCATTCTTAGTTTGAAACTGAGAATATACAGACTTCACTGCAAGTCAGGAATGAGAAGGGCTGTAACTTCTTTGCCATAGAAAAAGCAGATCAAGTCATAACAGTGGATTATCTTATCCAAAAAGAGTGCACAGGAAAATACAGGTGAGCCTACCGCCCACCGAAGCGTGGGAGGACCTGGCAGAGTGGGCTGAAAGAACATTCAGAAA